TTTCGGTAACATCGGAAGTAAAGGTCATGCGGTCTTGTTTCCAGGAAAAAGAAATGTAGCTCGAGGCACCATTTAATTCCTGAGGAAAAACGATCATGGTACTCTATTCAGTTCAAAAGCTATTTTGAAAATGTGATCATAAATTGATTGTTATTTGATGTGTAATTACATCACGATAACAAGATTTAATTGTTTGTGTGCAAACATATGGCTGTTTGGGTAATTTGTTATTGTATGCTTATGTCATCATAGACTGATGGGACATGTACGGTAGAGTGATCAGGACCAATGCAGTCTGGTGGATATTTGCCTTCAAAATGTGTACCTGTAATCATGGTAATGTGACGTCACATGTCACATCATGACGTTTTCAAATTTTTGTCTATAACACATCCCGGTCTAGGTACATACCAAGTTTCAACCCAATCAGACTTATAGTTATGTAGATACTTGTCTTGGAAACATGCGCTTTTCATATGACGTCACGTCACAGGATGACGTTGTTGTGACTTGACTTCAATTTTCATATATATAACACATACCAGTCTACATACATGATGACGTCATGATGACGTTATCATGTGTCACGTGATGTCATCTTAAATGTGCATATTTGAATATTCTATATCTACAGATTTATAAGTCCAATTGGGTTGAAACTTGGTATGTAGGTACACCGGGATGTATTATGGGTAAAAATTGAGGTGCCGTCATGATGACGTCATCTTGTGATTTTATATCAATTTTTGATTTTATTTTTTTACCTTTCAGCCATATCTCATCAACAGAACAAGCTAAATTTAAAATTCTTTTTGTAATAGGTTTGTTAAGTCATACATATTTTGCCAAAAAAATTGACAAGTATGTGACGTCATGATGATGTCATCAAAAATACAATTTTTCAAAATACATATAGAGTAGGTCTGATCGTCTTGAAACTTGGTGGGTTGGTAGATAGATAATGTTACTAATATGCAAAATCCGAAGTGACATGACGTCTTCACCTAATTTTCTATTAGCAAAATTATTCTACCGTAATTTTCGGAATATAAGCCGCGGCTTATACGTTGAATTTGCCCATGAAAATGTTTACTGCGGCTTATACACAGGGCGGCTTATACGCCGAGACTTGAAGAATAAAAATGACATTTACATGTGTATTTAATGTACTAGTAAAAGAAGAGATGTGTTACTAAATATCAATTAAGAAAGTCATTAACAAACCGAAAGCACGTCCCACAAAAAGATACCGAGCGGTAAAAAGTACGGCTAGTGAAAGCTGTCCCTTGGACATCGACAACCGGCCGTACGTGATGCTGCCTATGCTGCATGCATGCTGCATGGGTTCCCCATGGACCACACCATCTGTGGTAATAAAGGGGTGCACTTTCTTGGGAACAATAATTACCAATATTTCCCCAGTTTAAAAAAAGGAAAAAGACAACTAATACTTTTTATGGAGTTTGAAACATATCTTTATTTGATAATCAGTTGTTCAACGTCACAATATAATTTTTTTCTTGAAATGTATTCAAGAAACGGTGTAAAACTCAAAACAGGGGTGACCCCTACGAAATTAATGGATTCGTCCATAAAAATCTCGGCATCGTTTTGACTGTTTTCGAAGAAAGTTACGATCCAAACTTGAAGTTTTGACGTTACTACTCGTTAGTAATCACAACAATTTGATAAGTTTTGCTGTAAAAACGGACTTGTGTATCCTTTAGGACAAAACAACTCAGCGTCTGTTGCCACAAAGCAGGATTTGTAGCGCTGCAGTCAGACAACACATGGTGGGTTGCATACTCTCTCAAGTGCTGGGGGAAAATAATGTCATTCGCCGGCACAGGCTCACTGACGAGCCAGCCGGCAGCAATTCCCGTTTTTTATTTCTCATCATCAATTTCCAGTAATTGACTGTAAATGATTTGACATAACATTTGTGGCCCTTTTATAGCTTTCGTAGTGCAAATGGAACTGGTTCAGAGCATTTTGACTAGAATTTGGAGGCCTTACAAAATTGAACCGCTGCAGTTGGTGCGGCTTATACGCCGATGCGGCTTATACGCCGACTTCAAATCCTTGCAAAATTTTAAAAATGGCAATCAGATTGACTTCAAACTAGGCACAGACAAAGACCCCAAGGTTAAGTTGGCCCTGGAATATTAATGTCATTATGACCAACCCTACTACTTCAGAGGCAAAAAAATGAGAACTAGAGAAATAAAAAGGGACGCCCTAATGAAGCTAACATTATGCGAGATGAAACTATTCACACAAGCATGGGCAAAAGGTTGACACCTGGCTAACTTTGTTATCTGTTGGCAGCTCTGTGTGTCTGTCATATAATATGTGCTGAAGATTGCTGCTGCTTGAAGCACTGACAGTGTAATTCTCAGTTAGGCGATTTAGTTGGTGCCTTACTGAGTACTGCACTGTTCATTAACAGTGGTCTCAGCTGCAGCAATCTAGACATATGTTATGTGACTGGTTTCTCTTTATTTCATAATACGGTGAAGTATACAGTAGAACTTTGCTATAACGAACAATGTAGTCCACAAAAGGTGTTTGGTACAGTGCTTGCTTACTGTAGCTACATGTATTTTGGCCACCAATGCCCAGTAATTGTATACAACATTTGGGGAGAAAAGGGGGTGGTTTTATTATAGCCAATTGTTCAGTGTAGCTATGTTAGTTGTAGCGGCGTTCTACTGTATCTACAAACCTTCACTTGCATAATAACAAATGCCTTAATCTTTAATAATCAGTTTCGTCCTCCATATAGAAAGAAGACAGATTTATAGAGGTTAAGATTTGACCTTTCTTGTAGCTGTTAAATTTGAATGCTTTTTGAATGCTTGTTTTTCAGTTTTATAAGACTCGAGTCTATTAGGACATGGACTGCATTCTGTCTCGAGTCACAAATTCATTGAATTGGAATTGACTCAAGTCACATCAGCAAAAGACTTGGACTATGATTCTACCGTCACGACTTGGACTCGGACTTGACCATCAAGACTCGGACTCGGACTCGGACTTGACTATCATGACTCGGACTAAGACGACCATCGTGACTTGGATTCGACCATCATGACTTGGGCTGAGACTTGACCATCATGACATTGAATAAGATTCGACCATCATGACACAAATGCAAATGACTCTTTAGTAGCAAAGACTCTTTAGTAGCGAGTCGCATTTTCTTACAAAAATTTACCTTTACAAAACAAATCTGATGGGTTTTTGTTCTGAAAGTAACGTTAAAGCAATGTTTGAAATCGTTAAGCCCACGAATTAATCGTGAATTAAATATATCACATCAAAGATTTTATTTGCTTTGAAAGTACAACAAACTGCCTATCATGGGAAGTAGGGACCCTTAATATAGAGGTTATGTGTATTTAGTTCAGTGTGAGTGAATAGTATGCAGGGATGCCACTTTTCCTGCTGTAGCTTGAATTCTGGCTTTTGTTACTTTGGAAAAAAGTACTCCATTCCATTTTTGTAGGTTGCGAAAATAAATCCTCAAGTTGCGTCCACTGAGGAAAAAGGGAAAAAAGCTGGCTACATGTGGTGGTTCGGCCAATAGGAACTTTTGTTACATGTTGTTTGATAGCCAACAAGAAAATTAGTTACACACTTTGTGTTGTACTTGACTCGTATCTGGTGCACTCAATTCAAGTGCAAGCTTTTTGGGAAGACTTGCACATTCACATTGTGCATCAAACAATAGTTTAAAGGGAATATACAACATTTGCTTTTGCTGTAATTTTCAGAAATGGATGGATTTGGGGATTAGTATTTCATAACAAATATTGTTACACTGACTTGTTTGAAGTTTTGTGTTCGTTTAGTGTTCGTGTAGTTAACCTGAAATGGAGCAATTTTCAGACGTCGGGAACCAGTCTAGAAGGCTTGTACCTGTTTCATTGATGTGTAATTTATTGCAAACAAAATTCAGACTAAATATGGTAAATTGGGGGCAATATTTGAAAAAAAGCCAGTTTTTTCCAACGCTGGTTGGGGGACCAACGTTGGGCGTTGGAAATTGATACAAAAATACCACTTTTCTTAAAAATGACAGCACACCAGGTGCCATGATTTTACAGGACACTTTAGACTGTCATTCACTAACAGTCCAGTAAGGTATTTCATAAAAAGTTAGTTGGTGTTTTTATGTTTGCAAATGTTGTATATTCTCTTTAAAAGCTAAGTGTATGGATGTGCAAGTCTAGGATAATTGTGCATGCACTGCATGATGAGTGGAAGTATTTATTGAACATTAGTTGCCGACACACGTACATAACACGTGTGTGGTACATTGCAACATGAGTATGTATGATGCATTGCGCTTGTGTCAAAAAACAAAAACAAATTGGCGTTTGAGCAAAAACAAATTATTCAAATACAAGAAAAGTGCTAACTCCTCATTCCCTTCTACAAATAACAAATTGACACGCTCATGTACGGTCCATACAATCATGGATGTGCACAAACATGGATGCGCCCCAGCCGGCTAAATTTAGTATGACAAGATAGCTACATTTGTTGTATTTAGTAATTTAGTATAGTTTGACTATAAACAAATACAGGACTTCTGAGTTGGGAGAGTACAGTTTCACATATTTCTGTTTAGTGTACTCTGACTTGAATTGCCTCATTACAGCGTTATCTGGCAGTAACCATAATATGTTGATTTAATATATTGGGTTTTGCCCTTAACAACCTATTTTATTAACACTGTACATTTGTATACTCGGTGTTGTCTGAGGGTTTGCAAGAAAAATTCATAAGCTTACTCAGGTCGGACTGCTTAGTAGTGTATATATCTGACCACTTGACCACCAAGCTTGCCAGGGTCGGCTGGCAAGCTTGGCTCATGTGTTTTATATGCTGATGATGCCTTTGAGTGGTAGGGTTTATTCCATTCCTGAAATATTATTGATTAATAAAATAAGTTCTAATGTGTGTCATTTCCCAATCTGCTGATGTTGTTACAGGGAGTGGAATTCTTTGATGAGAAACTCAACAGTCTTTGTATGACATGGCTTGTAGATCACGGTGAGTAAAGGTCCAGTAGCAGCTACTGGAACACCACTAGCCTGGTCATTATATCACCATACTCTGCTGCAACGACAATAAATTGTACACATCAGTGTGTAAGATATGTGATTCATTATTACACTTTGATTTTCTAGTTGTTGTCTAACTGGTTAATAGTACCAGGGAATTGCACCTAGAATCCCCATTATTCAAACGTGATTGCAAGGGAGTTTGTTGCTACAAGCGTTTTGGATATACGCATTCAATGGGAGGGATATCCTTGACAAATTGTTGACTTTTAAGAATGAATATATGAGATTGACCTAAACAAATTCAAATTTTGTTGTGCTTCTCTTTCGGTGTCCCTGGTTATAAGCTGGTATAGACTATCTCCCCTCCCCTTCCCTCTCCCTCTGTTCCACTTTTGGAGGTAGTCAAAATAATTCCACACTTTTGGAAAAGAATGTCACTTCACCCCTGCAGCAATGTTGAATTTGTATGATAACAATTGCTGTGTAATTGTTACATGTACCGGTACCTCAGTCAAGGTGTCCCATTCCTTTCCCCAGTCAGTCTTAATGAAAGCCAAAGACATTCGCTGTAAGAACAAACCTTTCAAATAGACGGCGCATTTGAATGACTGAATGACTTTGCCTCCTATTTATGTCATAGAAAATGGAATCGTAGCATTACTTGTAAGTAAGGTCCCCTAAAGTTCATATTTTTATGAAATGATCCAAATTTACTAATAAAAATGCTGTTTGTTAACGAATTGTATATATATAAAATAAAATACATGTAATTCCCTAAATTTATCATTTGTGTTTGTGACATGTTTGATTAAATGTGTGTATTATCATTGCAGTTTTTGCCATCAGAGAAGCCGCTACTAACAATCTCAAGAAACTTGTAGAGAAATTTGGGACTGACTGGGCCCAGGTAGGCGCACTTCATGAATCCTTTATATCTGCTTCAAATAATTGTTACTGTGGCCCTTTTTATCCCTCAATGTTTACAGATATTTTAGCAAAAGAAAAGTGGTTTTTTTTGTAAGTAGGTTGGTTGAAGTGGTCACTTCTGTAGGTGCCCTCTAGTTGTAGTTTGAGTATTGTCTGTTGTTCAACGGAGCCCTGCCTGTAACCAACACCTGATGTATGTGAGCATTCAAATTGTATGCGACCCCACACACCAGCCTATCGTAGTCGACTTGAGAAATTGTGACGTCAGTTCAATCAGAAATGTGGACTAAGCTATTGATTGGTCAAATTGACTGCCATGGTTTTGTAATAACAACAATGGCTTACCAAAGACACAATAGAAGGCGACTGCTGAATGGTTGAAATCTTGAGGTCGAGACGCAGTCTTGTTTTGCATAATTAATGGCGGAATCTGCTGTGCAAGAGGATATAGACTATCTAGTTGCAATTTTCCATTCAAACATCTTGTTATTTCTGCCAAAAATCACTTTCATGGTCATAACTATAGTCTATAATTGTGACTTGCTATTTCAGAATACAGTTCTTCCTAAAGTGTTGGCCATGTCTAGGGATCAGAACTACCTACACCGGATGACTTGTTTGTTTTGCATCAATGTGATGGCTGATGTGGTCGGTGCAGAAGTGACCAATAAGGTGCTAATGCCTGTTGTGGTTACCTTGGCTTCTGACCAGGTGGCCAATGTTCGGTTCAATGTGGCTAAAACATTACAGAAACTAGCACCAAACTTAGAAAGTGGGTAAGTATGAATTATTACTACCAATCACTTTCACAACAGTTGTTGAAACTGCATATTTGTATTGTTTATTTTGTTTTGGCTGCTTGTATACTGATCCGTCCAGCGCAATTTGAAGTCATTATTGAGGTGGCATTATTGTACATGCTTGTCAAACTTGACAAACATATATGTCGGAGGAGCATTGTGCATATTTGCAACCTGCTCGCATAAGTCTTATTCTGCAGTAGTAATGGCTTCTAAGTTTGGTTGACCGATTAGTTTGTAGTAAGTTGCTCATCTTGTACAGCATTGTTAAGATTACAGGGCTAAAAATGTCAAATGCCCTGGTTAAGAGAATAACTCAGACTTTTGAAGGCCTTATTTTTATTCAAGTCTTGGAACTGGACTCCTTTTTAAATTGCCTTAGTGACCCACAGAAAAAGCCTTGGGGCACATTGTTTTGACAAAATATTTCAAGTCAGATAGCATTGACCTTGATTTGTGAAATTGTATAGTCGTTAGAACGCATTAGTTGTCACATGCACGTAGTCTTTTGATGATTAAACAAGATAAGAAGAGACAACTTTTATTGTCACTCCACTACAGCCTGCCCCCCCCCCCAAAAAAAAGCAGACGCAGGCTCTGTATCCTTGGAATATTGAAAAATATTTCATGATGATTATATGATGTTAAACCTGGGATATTCAGCTTTCAAATGCTATTTGTTTTATCAATTTTGCTTTTGCCAAGTTAGAGATATAGTCCGTTGAACACAAACACTCAAATATCAATTTGTGCCACTTTCTACATTATTAGGCCAATAATGACATGACAAGACATGGCACCTGTTCAAATCCGACTTCAATTGAGCTTACCAGTGTTTCCTTACCTATTCTTTACAAATTGTATTTCTGCACGATTATACATGTGTATTATACTGGCAATACTGCTGTTTATAGCATCAACTTACGGAAAGTGGCACAAATTGATTTTTGAGTGTTTGTGTTCAATGGACCATATCTCTGGGTTTGGCAAAAGCAAAATAGTTAAAACAAATAGCATTTGAAAGCTGAATATCCCAGGTTTAACATTATATAGCATCATTAAACATTTTTCAATATTCCAAGGACACAGAGCTCATTTCTGCTTGCAGCATTTTTTTGGGACAGGCTGTATGTTTGATAACAAAACTCGCAGAAATGTCCTCAAATGTAATCTAAATACCCCTTCACCAAACAGCCTTGCAAAGCCAAAGGAAATACTTATGCTCAGTGAACAGTTTTTGAAATGTGCTAAGAAATTGAACCCTTTTTGTTCTGGGTGAGTGAGGCCTAGCGGTTAAGATTCGTTAGGGGTTGGAGTCTAGCTGCTGGTAATACCTTGTGTCCTTGGGCAAGCCACTTCATCACCACTCGCCTATCTCCACCTGCCGTGAACTAGCATCCCGTCCAGGGGGAATAGAAATATTCTCAGTTGTTTCATGCTATTGAAACCGGAGATAAACGCCGTCCTGATGGGCCACATTGGCTCATGACAGACTTTACTTACTTACCTTTGTTCTTTAGTTGTGTACAGAGTCAAGTGAAGCCTGTTTTGGATAAATTGAATGGGGATTCAGATGTGGATGTCAAGTTCTTTGCGCAGGAAGCCATTTCAGGTAAACATTAGGTTAAATTATTGTAAAGTTTTGGGACATGTGTGACGTGTTTCCGGTTTGTTATACATCTTATACAGTAATTGAACAGTATTTAAATTGCCTGTTGCAATATTACAATAAATTAAGGGGTTCATTCCAAGAAGGCACCATTTGTACCCATCCAAATATTGATGTAAACACAAAAACTGTACATTGAATTTCAAGAAAACTGCTTATTGAGTATGTCAGTTGTCAAAAGGTGAAACAAGCTCCAAAGCTTTTTGTGTTTTTAGTTGTTTTCCCAAATGCTCCCAGCAGTCGGCCAATATTTATCACCAAGACGATAAAACATGCAGTTCAGAATACTAAAATACGCTGATTGTATCATTCGACTGCAACATTTACAATTTGTTACCAAGTATGGTTATGGTAAGCATGGTTTATTCTAGATGAGAAACAAATATGAGTTACATAGATTGCAAGTAAATTACACATTTAAAGGGGTAAATGAAAAGGTATTTTGTATAATAATTGAAATGTTTCTACATGTACACTGATTTTTCCTGATCTAAGCGTGCTCCTAAATCATCAAGCAGTTGACTGGATGCTTACAATCAGCTGCTGCATTGGACGTCTTGACTCCAACAACATGCATAGTGGATATTGCATCAGCTCAGATAAGATATGCCTGCTTATAACTTGTTAAAGCATATGTACTGTACATGATATTTGACAATGTTAAAATGTGCTTGTGATAAGAGTGATCAATTTTATTATATTTACTTGGTGTTGCTTTAGAAATGGCATGATGAATTCTTTGGATTCTGCAGTAGTACTTAACATAAGCACCTCTTGAACATTGATAGGTACAAGTAATTAAATACTCAATTTCACTTTACAGACAATACATGTTAGGGCTAAAGAACTGATGTAACATTGTATGAAAACAATTTTTTTTTATTATTACTTCAACTATAACTCATAACTTGAAATCTTAAAGGGGCCAATGCGATGATTTTTTTTTTTGGAACATTTCGTGCAACTTTGTAATAATAATAATAATAACGGAGTCTTATATAGCGCACGTATCTACCAACAAGGAGCTGGAAATTATGTCAATTATTAAAGAAAGGTAAAAAAGTTTATGAGAAATATGAGACCCATTAATGTAGCACCTTATAATGGTTTACAAGGTGCTGCGGCGCACATTGCAGCCACTGCCAGAAACACCAGGGCAAACCCATTCTCTTAGCGATAAGTGTTACTGGGTTCTTTAACGTGCATTACACAACAAACGGGACCTACGGCTTTACGTCCCATCCGAAGGACGAAGCAATAATGGTAAAGTGCCTTGCTCAAGAGCCACAAGCACCATGTTCCCACGGTCAGGATTCGAACCCATGCCACCACGGCACACGAGTCGAACACTAATAGTTCTAATAGTTTTGTTGCTTGAAATGATCCAATCATGTAGCGTTAAGTTCAAGAAACCTTTGTGAAACGAAAAGTACTGCTTGGCTATTAATGTAACTGTTTGTTTGTTTCCAGGCCTTGTTTATATTATGTTGATTAAGATTGGAAGCATTTACAGAACGAGTAATTTTCATTCCTTAATCTTGAAACACAGGTGATGATTGGGCAGTGAAGATGTTGAGAACATTGCTGTTATATATGTTTTACGTTAGACTAGATCAGTGTTCAGCTAGACTTCTGCAATGAGACATGTATTAATACAAAATTTAGTAATTTGTTTGATGATTAGTCATGTACATTGTAAAAGTGTGTGAATCTAATATAAAATAGCAGAAGTGTTGGTTTCACCAGAACACTTCTTTTTGTGACCACCATTGAATTCAACTGGTAAGTTCTGATCTTTTGATTACCGTAACACAATTATTTACATAAGCATTCAGTATTCCTTAACAGACATGAGGACGTTGTAGTTATTATGAGTAGAACTGTTTGCACTCATTTCAAATTCTTTTCCCGTTTTCTGTCACAAATCTGATATTGAAAATTAATTAAACAAACAATTGATTCCAGGTGTACATTTTTTTAAAGGCATTTGCAGGTACTGTGATATTCCCCCATGTCTTTACTTTGAGTGCGATTTTACTTTTATGAAGATGTAATCGGTGTGCTTTTTTTTCTTCATAATTTGTCATAGCTTTTTCAAGTTCATTTATAGAGTGAACAATTTGTGAAATAATTGAATTGAAGGAATCGAATGGGATATACATGTAGACATTGGCATAGAATCATCAATATGTTTGGGGTTTTTAATCAAATACATGGAGTTTATGAAGCTTTTAAAATTTCTTTAATTAGATTTGGTGTCACATGAACATAGTTATTTTGTTACAAATTTTGGGAAATGTTGCATAACAATCATCCTTTAAAGTACACTGTATGTAAAGAGGAAAAAAATGAACCCATGTTTAACTCTGCGCCTAAACGTAAGTGACTAACGTATTTACTTGGTTTTGTTAAAAGGAACGAATACAATACTTGTTTCTTTCGTGTAGATGGATTTGATTTTTAATTGGTGCAAATAAATAATACTTAATAAAAGCAATGTACAGTTTGTGTTTCTGGTGTGCTTGCCTTTACCATACAACATTACTACCTATGAGTTACATTGGAAAAACATGTGTGCCGGTAAAATTACACCGAAATTTGATAAGGTCATAAATTTAAAAAAAAAACAAAAAAACTTAGATTTATTACCCAATAAGCTGGACTATTGTATTTCGTTCATTTCCCTGGTTGCAATTTAGATAACAATTTTTAGTTACAAACGCTTGGGTGATCGGGCCAAAAACAATTTCATAAGACATAACCCTGTTGTGAATATTATTGTCAAATCAAAACGATCGTCAAATTGAGCCATTATATAATCGAGTATTATTATCTCCTGTATGCTGTTTTAAAAAACATTCGTTTTTAATTTGAAAAACAGCATATGTTATTTCTGGTTTCATGGCAGCAGTTAAAATGGGCAAACTGAATACTGTTAAGGTGAAAAGAACGTCTGAAAATATTAAAATAATAATGTATAAATGTACATATATAACCTAACTTCTGGTTTCACGACGTTACAGCATTTTGAAGCCAAATGACAACATTGTACCGAGTGTCATCATTTTGTGGTACCACATAACGGATATATGGATCAAATGACGGATCTAAAATTTAAAGAAAAAAAAATGATCATTTTCAAAGTCTCCCTTTAATAACTTCTGGTCTCATGACATCACGATTCTCAAACTTTGGACAAAATCAAAAGACCTAAGACCTAATGACGTCACCCTTTGTTTGTATGTGCGTTTTCCCTATGAGATAAATTTTGACGGATGAATTTTAAATTCAAGCGCGTTGAAATGTGATGTACCGCTAGAGGGCGCCCTTTTGCGTATGACGTCATCAGGTTGTTTTGTGTTAGGCATTCGTCACTTATTGTGTCCCTTAATTTTTTTTTTTTTTTTAATTCTTGGAACAATGGTCATAATGCTTTCGGAAGTAATGGTAGTCCTGAAAAGGGCTGTTTCATTCACTGCTCAGATGTTCAAGTGTCCTGCTCTGTCTCTGCTCTCTTCTTGGTAGCTTTTTTTTCACAAAAGGCAAGTTTCGGACCCTGTTCTTATATTTCGGCAATCAATAAATCAGTTGCCGTACACATAAAGAAAAACGGTACTTGTATTCAATTGGTCATGACACATTAAAATATTTACCCGACTAGAAAGATTTTTTTCGTTGTTGAAAAGCTAATGAAATACATTCTTTTAATTTGTATCGATATTTGCAATGTGTATTTCTAAAAGCTGTGAAAAAGAGGGGGCTTTGAGGATTTCGTTCGGAAGTGAAGGTCAGGAAGTCAAATTCATTATTAAATAAATATTAAATTAATCAAATTAGGTTTTGCCCTTCACCGACGTATTTTTTAAACACTGTAAATACTCAGTGTGTTACCTCCCGAGTGAAAGTTGGAAAAAAAAATCACTCGGGCGGGACTCGAACCCACGACCTCCTGCTTTCTAGTGCAGATGTCTTACCACTCGACCACCGAGCTAACGGGATCGGTTGGCCGGTTCGAATCTGATGTACATAGCAGCGGGTACCGCATAAACTATTTTAAGATGGAATTTTGCGTCGGGGTGATATAAATCAAATTATGTTTTTGCCCTTCACGTCGGTGAAGGGCAAAACCTAATTTGATTTATATATCACCCCGACGCAAAATTCCATTTTATAATTAATAATTATTATTAAGGAATACAACGTACAGAGAAGAGAGAGAAGAGTAAGAGAGAAAAGGGTAAACGGTAGAAAAAAGGGCAAAGAGTTAAAGAGTAAAGAAAAACGTGTTAAGAGTAGAGTAAAAAGGGTAAAGTGTAAAAAGTGCAAAAAGTTAAGAATAAAGAGTTAAAGCGTAAAAAAATAAAGCGTAAAAAATCAAGTTGTAAATATTTAAGTTGTAACGAGTAAACGGTAAAGAGAGTTGTGAGATAAGATTAAAGAGTAAAGAGTAAAGAGAGCATTGAGTAAGGATTAAAGAGTAAAGAATAAAAAGTGTAAAGAGAAAAGGGTAAAGAGTTATGCGTTTAGAGTAAAGGGTTAAGCGTAAAGAGAAGAACGTAAAGAGCAAAGAGTAGAGAGAAAAGGGTTAAGTGTAAGGCGTTAAGCAGTGTAAAGTGTAAGGCGTTAAGCATAAAGAGTGAAACGTAGAGAGAATAGAGTTAAGCGTAAAGGGCAAAGAGTAAAGAGTAAGAGTTAAAAAGAGTAAAGAGTTAAAAAGAGTAAAGAGTTAAAAAGAGTACAGAGTTAACAAGAGTAAAGAGTTAAAAAGAAATAAAGAGTAAAGGGTTAAAGGATAAAGCGGTAAAGCATTAAAGAGTAAAGAGAAAAGAGAAAAGAGAAAAGAGAAAAAGGAAAATGAGAAAAGAGAAAAGAGAAAAGAGTAAAGTGTAAAGTGTAAAGAGTAAAGTTAAAGAGTAAAGACTAAAGAGTAAAGAGTTAAGCGTAAATAGAAAAAGTGTAAAACGTAAAGAGTTAAATGCAAAGCGTAAAGAGTAGAACGTAAAGAGCAAAGAGTAAAGAGAAAAGGGTAAAGTGTAAAAGAGTAAAGGGTTAAGAGTAAAGAGTTAAGAGTAAAGAGTAAAGAGTAAAGAGTAAGAGGTAAAGAGTAAAGCGTAGAGAGCAAAGAGTAAAGAGTCAAGAGCAAAGAGTAAAGTGTAAAGAGCAAAGAGTTAAGAGAAAGAGTTTAAAGAGCAAAGAGCAAAGAGTAAAGAGTAAAGAGTAAAGAGTAAAGAGTAAAGAGTAAAGAGTAAAGAGAAAAGAGAAAAGAGAAAAGAGAAAAGAGAAAAGAGAAAAGAGAAAAGAGAAAAGAGAAAAGAGTAAAGCGTAAAGCGTAGAGAGCAAAGAGTAAAGTGTAAAGAGTAAAGTTAAAGAGTAAAGACTAAAGAGTAAAGAGTTAAGCGTAAATAGAAAAAGTGTAAAACGTAAAGAGTTAAATGCAAAGCGTAAAGAGTAGAACGTAAAGAGCAAAGAGTAAAGAGAAAAGGGTAAAGTGTAAAAGAGTAAAGGGTTAAGAGTTGAAACGTAGAGAGAATAGCGTTAAGTGTAAAGGGTAAAGAGTCAAGTGTCAAGAGTCAAGAGTCAAGAGTCAAGAGTCAAGAGTCAAGAGTCAAGAGTCAAGAGTCAAGAGTCAAGAGTCAAGAGTCAAGAGTCAAGAGTCAAGAGAAAGAGGTAGAGGTAGAGGTAGAGAGTAAAGAGTAAAGCGTAAAGGTTAAAGCGTTAAAGCGTAGCGGTTAAAGCGTAGAGCGTTGAAAATATAGAGCGTAGAGCGTAAAGGGTAGAGCAAAGAGTAAAGTGTAAAGAGATAATAGAAAAGGGTAAAGAGTAAAGGGTAAAGCGTAAAGGGTAAAGAGTAAAGAGTAAAGAGTAAAGAGTAAAGAGTAAAGAGTAAAAGAGTAAAGAGTAAAGAGTAAAGAGTAAAGAG